GTTTAAGAGTGAACATCTACACGGACTCCAAGTATGCGTTTTTAACCACTCATGCCCACGGAGCTTTGTATAAAGAAAGAGGACTATTGAATTCAGAAGGCAAAGAAATCAAATACGCAGCTGAGATCCTACAACTATTGGAAGCAGTGTGGGAGCCGAAAGAAGTCGGTATTATACATTGTCGGGCGCATCTGAGAGGAGATGGTGATGTAACCAAAGGGAATCGGATGGCAGATAGTGCAGCTAAGCGTGCTGCTGAATCAGGAATACAGGAATATGTGGGGCATATAGCTGCTCTTATACCAACTCCACTGTCTCAATGGACTCCAATTTATACAGCTCAAGAAGAGGAGTGGTTAAGGACTGAACCTGGAAAGTATTTGGAGAACAAATGGTATCAGTTAGAAGATGGAAGAATAGTTATTCCAGCATCACTAGCGGTAGAAATTGTCCAAAACTATCATAACGGGACACATTCTGGGAGAGACAGTACAGAAGAATCTCTCAGAAAACATTTCTACATACCAAGATTGTCCAACTTGACTCAGGCCATTGTACGTAGATGTGTAACGTGTGCTAAAAATAATGCAAGACAAGGACCAGTAAAGCCACCAGGAGTCCAGTTTATGGGGGGACTTCCCATGTCCGATTTACAAATTGACTATACAGTGATGCCTAAATCGGGTGGACATCGCTACCTGCTGGTAGTGGTGTGCACCTATTCAGGCTGGGTAGAAGCATGTCCTACTCGTACAGAGAAAGCAGGAGAAGTCGTGAGATTCCTGCTACGAGAAATAATACCCCGATATGGACTACCCTGCTCTATAGGATCGGACAATGGTCCAGCTTTTGTTCATCAGTGCCTACAACAATTGACTCATATGCTTGGTATAAAGTGGAGGCTTCATACGGCATATAGACCCCAGAGTTCTGGTAAGGTAGAGAGAATGAATAGAACTATTAAGAATCAGTTGGCTAAAATGTGTCAGGAAACCCAACTTAAGTGGAACGTTCTCTTGCCCATAGCTCTATTGCGAATCCGTAGTACACCTACCAGAAGGATGGGCCTCTCTCCTTTTGAAATCATGTACGGGCGACCACCTCCCGTGCTTGGTAACTTAAGGGGGGATTTGAGTCAGTTGGGAGAAGGAATTACCCGGCAGCAGGTTGTAGAGTTGGGTAAGACTATGGAGGAGGTACAGAAATGGGTACAAGATAGATTACCTGTGAATATTTATCCCCCAATTCATAGTTACCACCCAGGCGACCAAGTGTGGATTAAAGAGTGGAATAATGTGCCGTTAGGGCCCAAGTGGAGAGGTCCTTATGTTGTTCTTCTGTCTACCCCTACAGCGATAAAAGTAGCCGAAGTGGCTCCGTGGATACATCACTCCAGGGTTAAACCAGCAGCAGCCGATTCCTGGCAAGTTACAGCAAATCCAGAGAATCCCTGCAAGATCCGGTTAAAACGCACGACTCAGTCGGAGTGACGAGGAACCTTGTAGATTACAAATTTTATTGTTTCAGAGACTTGGTAAGTGAGTGAGAAGGCCATAATAAAGCCTGTCCACTCACCAACGAGTGTATAAGTCAGGGAAAGTCTTGAGGGGACCCCTGTGAAGACGAGCAGAACTCCATTCCCTGCAGTCCTTACATCCTGGAAGCTGAGGTGCCTTCGCACGGACGAAGACTGAGGATGACGACGAAAGATGTATTTTTAATAATGTTTATTTATGTGTATTTTTATATTCAGGAAGGTAGAGGTACCGACACTCCTAGCTGTGAGGTATGCATTAAGACTACAAGAACAGGTAACCATATATCCCAGACCCTAATTTGGCATTCGCAATATGAGTGTAAAGGAGATGTATCAAGATGTAGATACTTAAATATAGAATATAGTGTGTGTCATTTAGGAGTAGGAGAACCTAAGTGCTTCAGTCCTGAGTATCAACCCCGTACAATTTGGTTGACTCTCAGAAATGGAGATTCTCAGGGGACCCTAATTAATAAGACGGTATTAAAATCCGTATATTCTTCAGGTGCTCTGCTATTTGATGCGTGTAAAGCAATATCAAGTGGTAGAAAGCCGTGGAATGTATGTGGGGATCTTAGATGGGAGAGGACGTATGGGTCTAACGATAAATATATTTGTCCCAGTAGTAAAAATAAATATGTAAGTCCAAGATGCCCAAATAGAGATTATAACTTCTGCCCATATTGGTCTTGTGTGGGGTGGGCGACTTGGGGACAGACAGCAGACAAGGACATGATTGTGACTAAGTTGCCTACTAATCCATATTGTAAGTCTATGGAATGCAATCCAATCCATATACTTATAAATAACCCTGACAAGTTCTTAGATAAATATGGTAATTTATTTGGGTTTCAATTATATGGGACGGGTTTAGACCCTGGGACAATATTGTTTATAGGGATAGAGACTGATACGGTAACCTCCCAAACTCATCAAGTATACCATTCCTTTTATGAAGAGATGAGCATAGATAATAAGATCCCCATAATGCTAAAAACTTGTTCATTGATTTAGCCGAGAGTATTGCCGGTAGTCTTAATGTTACCAACTGCTATGTGTGTGGAGGTACTAACATGGGAGACCAATGGCCTTGGGAAGCTAAGGAGGTAATGTCCGGTTCTGAGGCAGTTGACCAATTAATATCTACACAAGCCGACTATCATATGAGTGTTAGAGGTAAATCTGAGTGGAGATTGAAGACCTCCATCATAGGTTATGCTTGCATAGCGAGGAAAGGAATGATGTATAATACTTCTGTAGGAGAATTAACTTGTCTAGGGCAAAAAGCTTATGATGATGATACAAAGAATACAACTTGGTGGTCGGCTTCAAATGTCTCAGAACCATCTAACCCGCTTGCAAGATATGCCAATTTAAAGGACGTATGGTTTGATCTATCCATCACATCTAACTGGAGAGCCCCAGCGAATTTGTACTGGATCTGTGGTAAGAAGGCCTATTCGGAGTTACCACAGGACTGGGAAGGGGCATGTGTGTTGGGTATGTTAAAACCATCCCTTCTTCTTGTTGCCTATTGAAACAGGTGAGACTTTAGGTGTTAAAGTGTATGATGTGAATCATAGGAAGAAAAGGGGACCCATAGAGATAGGTGCCTGGGAAGATAATGAATGGCCTCCCCAGCGTATTATAGATTATTATGGGCCAGCCACGTGGGCAGAGGATGGTACCTTTGGTTATAGAACCCCTATTTATATGCTCAACCGCATTATAAGGTTACAGGCGGTGGTTGAGATCATTACTAACGAGACATCACAAGCGCTCAATCTTCTAGCGAAGCATAATACCAGGATGAGGACAGCAGTTTACCAAAATAGATTAGCCTTGGATTATCTTTTGGCAGTAGAGGGAGGTGTATGTGGGAAGTTTAACCTGAGCAATTGCTGTCTTCAAATAGATGACGAAGGGCAAGCAATAGCTGAGCTTACCAGCCATATGGTTAAACTAGCGCATGTGCCTACTCAGGTATGGAAAGGGTACAATCCAAGTAGTTGGTTTGGTAGCTGGTATGAGTGGTTTGGAGGGCTTAAGGCAGTGGTAGGTGGAGTCCTACTGATTTTAATGTTGTGTCTACTCCTGCCGTGTCTTATACCCTTAGTAGTTAGGTCTGTGCAAAGCCTGATAGAAAATATAGCAGAGAGGAAGGCTGCTGCACAGATAATGGCAATTTATAAATATAAGGCTCTAGATCAGGGAGAACCAATGCAGGAAGACGAGTGTTGAAGATTCACATCATAGGATAAGTCTGGTCTGGTTCAAAGGTAACTTGTGGTGTATGCAAACCAAGGTTAAGTGATGCCTCAAGTAATTGTAAAATATCAAGAGGCATCAAAGGGGGGAATGTGGTGGAATCTCAGTAAAAATAAATTTAGTAGGCCGAGATTACCACGTGGCATGTGTACGTGCATATGCTGACGTATCGATCAGTTGGTTGCACGAGGCAAGATACGATCAGTAGTGTACGGAGCATGTGCAAGAATACAGAATGTAGTATTCCCCTCCTCCATTGTGCTGGACAAGCCATGTGGTCAAGCAGGAAGTTAATTCTTATTTGTAATGATTGGTCAAGAGAATGTGCGGGTGGAGCTTAATATGGGAGGAGTTATGTGCCTATATAGGAGGCCTGCACTATTGTTCAGGGCTCAGAACTTGCTGTATTTTTGGTGACATTAGTCCCTCTGAGTCCCGATCGGTGATCCAATAAAGAATCTCTTCCTTCCTGAAGAAATCTGTGTCCATCCCTCTGTGCTTTGCTTCCGTCAGTTTCTCCGGTATCAGTACAGTGTATTTTTTTTCACATGCATGCATAGTTTTACAATTATTAGGTGTTTTACTTGTCTTTTGCCCCACACCCTATAAGCCCTCTATCTGCTGGGACGCCGCGTAGAGGAAGTGCTGTGCTGGTACACTATATGGAGAAACTGAAGGGGGGATTTGGGAAGTGGGGGGGGGGGCTTCGGTTTAAGTGGCTGCTGTAGTGTGATTTAATATCACTGTCACCTCAGTCTCTTCTGCCATGACATAAATGATTGGTGTAGGTACATCACTTTGTATCTGTCCTGTATCTGTCCTGGTATGGGCATCAGGTCTCAGTATAAAACTCTTACTAAATGCATCCACAACTGATCACCGGGATCACTGCAATCCTACTGAGTGCAGCACCCAAACCACACTTTTATTGATTTCAATCATTTTAAAGCCAGCCACCCCCTCCATTGTTCTACTTTATGTAACACACATCCCTGACACACACTGCATGGCTTCCAATAACACTGCAGGGCATCCTGCAATATTGCAAATAAAGTGGAACAGAGGACTGAGAGGCTAATGCACAGCACCTGGGGCCTTATGGGAGTTGTACTAGCTGTGCATGGCAGGGCTGCATAATGGGAGTTGTAGTAGCTGTGTATAGCTGGGCTGCATGATGGGAGTTGTAGTGACTGTATGGCTGGGCTGCATGATGGGAGTTGTAGTGACTGTATGGCTGGGCTGCATGATGGGAGTTGTAGTATTTCCCTATGATTGGCAGGGCTGCATGATGGGAGTTGTAGTATATGCCTGTGATTGGCAGGGCTGCATGATGGGACTTGTAGTAGCTGTGTATGGCTGGGCTGCATGATGGGAGTTGTAGTGACTGTGTATGGCTGGGCTGCATGATGGGAGTTGTAGTATTTGCCTGTGATTGACTGGGCTGCATGATGGGGGTTGTAGTATTTGCCTGTGATTGGCTGGGCTGCATGATGGGAGTTGTATTTGCCTGTGATTGGCTGGGCTGTATGATGGGAGTTGTAGAAGCTGTGTATGGCTGGGCTGCATGATGGGACTTGTAGTGAC